GAGCCAGCAGGTGGATTAACACGACCGGGCTTCAGTGTCCTCTGCGGCTTTTGTGCCTGTGGATTTTTACAGTTTGAAATGACGAGAACCAAAATCCAAAAAAGAGCTGCTGGGTTAATTTGTTTTTTTGTTTTAAATTTCATTTTTAAAAAATGGAAATTCTTGTTTCCTCAAACAAAAACTCTGTTGCACCACAAAGTACACCGACGGAACGGGTACTTTCTTTCATGTGTTTACAATTGCATTTTTTTTTAAGACATTTTTTAATAAGAAGTCCTTGAGTCGGTCGTGTTTCCAGCGTACCCCCCTCAGTGACCACTTATACAAACTTATTTAATGAATGTACTTTCTACAGTTTAAAATAGCTTTCATTGGTTTGTTATTTTATAGCAGAATCCACTCAAAGCTTATTTAGTTATATTCACAGTCGGAAGCTGAAATATAGAATTGTTATAGATATCTGCCAGGATGAAAGTCTGGACGTGGTTTCGTTAGGAAACATATCAGATCTTTGGTCACATTTACATCCTCACCCCCACGTGCTTTCCTGATAACAGTCTGATAAACCTTTTGCATGACAGCTACGCCTAAGAGCCCGCTTGCGAGACTTCATTTTTGGCTCCACTTTATTTGGATAGTACCGGCCTACAGAGTTTATAGATTGGTCTGTAACATTTCAGCAGCTCAGCAATTAGTTGAGATTGCAACAATTCAGCTAGTTCACAAATAAAGGCTTGAATGATTCATTTAGATAATCGAGTGCCTTCTCTCTCCGCCTTCCTACAGTGGATTTTATCAACAATTAAAATTATGTTTGATTTTCTACTAGCCAAGAGAAACTATAGCTAACCTAAGCTGGGGTGCTTCCAGTTGGCTGTGTCTTGCTTGTGCGTGGTGCATTGGTTCTCTTACATGTTGCATTGTTGATGTTGCCTTTACTTAAAGAACACTACGTTCTCATAAAACCCTCACCCCCTGAAAATGCCTTCATACGAACTTCCCTCGCTGCATTTGAATATTTTGATACTATGGTACTGTGACATTTTTGCGATCACTTCTCCCTTCTATGAAGCTCAACCACACAGTGTGACCAAACACCTCTTTGAGAAGTGGTGTGCAGAAACATGTTGCATAATAAATTCCCCAGTTCTCTGTCTTATTTTTTCTACTTTTTACTAAAATACTGTAAGACTGAAATATAAGGTTTTTTCTCTCCTATGCAAAAATTCAAAAGACACATTCAGATAATTTGAAAGCATCAAGGCAGGACTGAAAGATGAGTCTCAGGCATATAAGACGTGTATCATATGCATAGAAATTGACTTTTGAAGTACTGATTTCCACTGATGTTATTCTTATGGTATTTATGTACTGAGCTGCTCAACTGTGAACATGAATAGTAAATTTACAGATAACTCATTTTCAAATGTATTACAACTCAGCTGCTAGCTGAGCTACAAACTTTTACAAAAACAGCATGAATGTGCTTCTAGTGGACTGTAAAAGCTCCAGCGGACTGGTGTGTGTTTCCAGCACTGAGTCTAGACAGACAGCTGCTCATTAGCACTGTAGCTCTGTTAGCGCTGTTAGTCTGTCTGTTAATGCACTGTGCTTTGTAGGTTTCTTGATGCCGTCTTTAATTAGCTGAGGAGAGCTAGCAGTTAGACTTTCTGCTGAAACTTTAGTTTGATGTCTGGTCTATAGATGTGATGTTTCCTGCAGGCTGCAGCTGATCGACGACGCTTCCTACGAAGACGTGAGAAGTGCTACAGAGGATCAGTAAGTTCCTTCACTCTCGACATGATTTAGGAACTTGACCTAAAAGTGACGACATTTCTCTCTCCTCTCACACACACACACAACACACACACACACACACACTCTGTAGTTGTTTTTCAGAAGTCCAAAGATGACGACGGGCCAGCGGGAGTCCTTTCAAATCTTTTTTTTAGTCTCTGCAGAAGTTTCCGGCGTCTGTCTCATCTCCATGGGAACGCGGTCAGGGGTGTGTGTGTGTCTGTGTGTCTGTGTGAGTGTGTGTGTGTGTGTGTGCGGACAGAAAGTTTACCGTCACACATCTGAGTCCACAGATTCAATTAAAGATCACACAGAGCGACAGATTTACTGCAGATTTCAGACACATTGATCAGCGTCTTTATGAACGTTCAGAGCGGCTTCAGGAGTTTCAGGAGCTTCAGACGAGGAGCTGCTGCTTTCTGTTGTTTCAGTCATTGTTGTTTCAGACAGGAACAGGAAGGCAGGAAGTCACTATCTCAGAGAATAAAGACACACAGGTGTAACTCCTGACCCAGATATCAGGAACCACAACAATGCCTGCGCAGAATATTCCAGAAAGTGGTGGTTTAGTTTGCAGCTGATGGTGGATTCAGATATTTTATTTAAGTCAGTCTGTAATTATACCTGTTGATAAAAACTTTGTAAAAGTGTATAAAGCTTAGAAATATTACTAATATTTAAGTATTTAGTTAAACTTTACTTTATCAGGCTGTGCGACTCACAATGTGCATTTGATCCAAGTCTTAAAGTCCAGGTGAAATGAAACATGTAATTTTAGACCTTTAAGATCACACCCTCAGTCATATTGTTCCCCTATTTAACAATTTATACCAAATCAATCAACAAAACTCAATTTCTTTGTATCATTTTGTCTTCCTGTCTCCCGTGTTTCCTGTCTATCGTCACTTGCCCTATCAAAATAAGACCAATAATGTAAAAATAATTATTAAAACCTAAAAACTAACATTAATATAACATTAGTCTAAATTAAAAGACAGAATAAAAATATAGGTCTTTAATTCCCTCTTAAAAATACTGAGACAGCCATCCGTAACAGCAGCAACGGTCTCTCTGCAATTATGATATTAAAATCAATGATTAGATTGATCTCATCAGCAGAATGAATTAATCTGTGATTAACTCTGTTTCTCCACAGACCGTCAGCAAGTACAACTCTCAGTACCACAAACTGTTCCAGACTGTCCCTAAAGAGGAGATCTTGATGAAAGGTAATGACTGACAGGCCAGCGGCACCGTCCCTCACCTGTCCTCATGCAGTTTGTACCCGGGTTGACCTGGGGTTAGCTCAGATGGACTGTGTGCTGGTTCATTGGACTGTCTCCCTGCTCTTCTTCTGTAGTGTATTCGTGTGCGTTGTTGAGAGACATCCTGCTGCAGGGACGTCTCTACATCTCCAGGAACTGGCTGTGTTTCTACGCAAACCTGTTTGGTAAAGACATCAAGGTGAGCGTCGGTCCATCCTCACGGAGTCGAGTCGGTCGGAAAAACATTTCATTTTTCTTCGTTTTTTTACACACAAAAGAGCAGAAAACACGAACACTTCACTTCGACTCTGTGGTCGAAATGGATATTAAAACAACAAACAAGAAACATTCTTTTTAAAATACTGAAAATGATCAATGTTTTTCTCACATTAAACAAAATCAGAAACATTAGGCCTTTCAGGGCTTCCATACTTTACACCTCAACCATCAAATGTAAATTCAGTGAAACAAATAAGGTCTGACAGCATGTTTCTGTAGTGGAGACTAAACATT